GATGGGGCAAATAGTGACAGATTTTTTTTTCTCCTCCTAGTTTCAAGTTATCAAGATCAACTGTTTTACTAAGAAGATACTTACTGTTTTATTAAGAAGATACTTACTACCTTCAATTATACGAAAAACTTAAGTAAAAATTCCATAAGTCAGATATAAGGGCGAAATTTTCATAAAAACCGCAACCTGCATTTTGTCATTATTTTCCCCATCCTGGGGTAAATAGTGACATCCTAAAGGGCAAATGGTGACAATCATGAAAAAAATAGTTTTTAACCTCAAGTATTATTACATGTACATATAAAGAATAAATGCTTTAAGTGTCAGGAAAAGAGTATTTAGATGAAATGATTACATATGTAAAATAAAATTTATTCTAGAAAGTATAAAACATAAATAAAATAATAATATTGAATCTCTTTGGCTGCTTTTTGTATAGTTAAACGTACTAATATAGACATAACGAAAGAAACGAACATAAAGTTGCATATTATAATAATAACAAAAAGGGCACGAACATAAAATTATTTATTATACTTATAAAGAGATAACGAAAAGAACAGACATAAAATCATTACGAAACAGAATACTGCCTTTCAAGAATAAATTTTTAATTTCAGTCAAGAGGACATAGCACACATTAACAGCCATAGACTAGTATTTGTTGCTAAAAATCACAATTATTCTTTAACTGTAACTACTTCCACACTTCTAAAAAATAAAAACTATAAATAAAATAAAAACATTAAATCTTTGGCTGTTTTTTGTACAATTAAACTTACTACTACAAACATGACATAAGAAACGAACATAAAATTGCTTATTATAACGAAAGGAATGAACATAAAATTACTTATTATACTTATGTAGAGATACCGAAGAGAACAAATATAAAATTATCGTAATATCATCCTCCTCCCATGTCGCGTTAACCTCCTCAAATTTAATTCTTCTTCTCTCACGATGAATCGATTTCAAAGTTTAGATCATTTGACGTCTCATCAAAATCTAAAACTCTCTGTACTCTCTTCCTTTTTGTATTTTCCTTTCTTTGTTTGAACTGTTTCTGGATTGTTCTTATTACTTTTTCGCTGTCTTTTCCTTTCTTTAGATTTCTGTTTTTTCTCTATCTGTTGTGTTTCATGTTCTTGTATTTCATTCTTCTTTAGACTATCTGTCACAATCATACACTTGCCCTTCCTTCTGGGTTTCCTCGTATTTTGTTTAGGCTATACTTTAGGAGAGCCTTTGAAATCTGATGGACTTATAAGTGAGTCATTAGTATTGGTTATGGCCGTAGCTATTACTGTCTCTGAAGTTTCTGGTGCTGAGGTGGTTACTGTCTCTCTCAGGTTTTCGGATCCATTTGGATTGTTAGCTCTCACATTTGGATCCAGCTGTACCGTTACTGTAGACATGATGTAATCTGTGTCTTGAAATACAGATCGGTTGAAAGGATATATGCCTGGCTTCTCAAAACTGGCAATAATGTTTACTGGAATAGCTGCCTTACTTAGAGCTTCTTGCATAAATCCTGCTACATGATAAATAGTTACAGGGACACCAGGGTTGTTCATCATCCAATTATATATAACATTATCATAATATGACTTAAAAGGACCAAAAATTCCGACGTCTAATGGCTGGAGTTTGTGTGTACAATGGGGAGGAAAAGTGGAAAGCGTTACTCCATTTTCCTGGACAAAATTTATAGCGTTAGCTGATAAATGAGTTTCAACATTGTCAATTAAAAGAATCGTAGGATTTTCTTTAGAAGAATTTGGACACTTTACAAAATGTTTCATAACATCAACGAAGGTCTCTTTTGTCATATAGCCTTTGCTATTGGCTAGTCCAAGTGTTCCAGGGAAAGCATTCAGTGCCATATTACTCTCATAATATTTGCGAGGGAAAATCATAACTGCAGGTATTACCACTCCATGAGCGCCAATAAAGTAGCAAGTTGTTACTGAAATACCTCTCTCCGCACTCTTCACTTGTGCGATCAAAGATGCTTCTCCAAATATTCTAAAAACGAGTTGCGCTCGCTCATATCTCGCTCTTTGTCTCTTTTGTTTCTTTTTCCGATTATAATATCACATTTTTCTCTGAAAAATGTTGACCGAAAAAGAAAGATCGAGGATTTGGTGACCGTATTAGATCATATCAAAAAGTAGCTGATCTATTCAATGTTACACATCCTTATCTCGATCCTATTTCTAAATCCATCGTTTGCAGAACACGTTGCAGAACAGTGGCTCGTTTTTTTACAAAACGGGAACAGTTAAGGACCGATCTCACAGCGGAAGGCCAAAATCCGCAACTAATGATGATAAGGAAAATTCATTTGTCCGTATCAAAAACAGTACAAGCCCATGATATCAATGAAGGCAGCGTTTCTAACATTTTAAAAAAGCATAAATATTATCCGTATAAATAAAATTGTTATCGCTCAAGAACTTATGGAAGATGATTTTGATAGAAGAATTCAGTTTTGTGAAGAACTGATGTAACGATGTGATGATAATGCTAACTTTTTGAATTTTGTTATTTTTTCTGATGAAGCCACATTTCAAATAAATGGTGCTGTTAATCGCCATAATTATAGATATTGAGGAGTGATGAAAATCTACATTAGATGAGTGATCTTCGCACACAATATCCACAAAAATTGAATGTTTGGACAGGGATCTGTAGTCGCGGTATTATTATAGGCCCATTTTTCATAGATGGTGATTTAAATGAAAAATATTAAAATTTATTGAAAAATATTAATTTTTACTGAAAAATATTAAAAATTTACTGAAAAATATTAAAATTTATTGCGAAATTATATCATTCCTGAAATTGAAAATTTATTTGACGCAAACATGCAAAACGTTTGGTTCCGGCAAAATAGAGCAGGACACATTTTGCGGTACGAGTTCGAGAATTTTTAAACCGTTCTTTTCCTAATCGATGGATAGGTAGGAGAGGTACCATTGAGTGGCCTACTAGATCACCTGATCTATCTCCTCTTGATTTCTTTTTTTGGGGACACATCAAAAATATAAGGTTTATGCAACGAAACCATATAATTTGAAAGACCTGAAAAATGGAATAATGCAAGAAGCACCTCTGATCACTTTAGAACAAATAAGCCATGTGATCAATAGTTTCTATGAACGTTTAGCTCATTGCCAAACAGTAGGAGAAAGACATTTTGAACATTTGATTGATTGAAAAAGTAAAAAACAGCTTGAAAAATAGCTTGAAAAATGTTACCTACACATACACACACACATACACACACACACACACACACACTACGGAGAGGGTTTGGAGTCTTAAAATACTGCGGGTCCTGATCTCTATAGTGACACACACATACTATACACACTCGCGAGGCGTAAATCCGCCCGTGCAACCTCCGCGCGGTATATTTTGGGTAATGCTAATGCCGGCGGTACTGTAACTTTCAAGTGTCATAACTCAGAAAGAACTTAATAAGAAACGACTTCATTATTGTTTTGTTCATTAGTATTTTGGAAAGCTCTCGAGATAAGCTACAAGAATTTCCAATAAAAAATAGGGAGTTCTATTCTATTCAAAAAACAAAGTTGACCTTCATATGATCTTAGTAACGCCACCTACGGTCAAACTGATATGACTACTAAATAGATCTTTTTAAGCCCTACAACTTTTGTATCAAACATTTTTTCGTATTTTTCATATTTTTCGAAATATTTTAGCGTTCCCGGACTTTTTGAGGATCCTGTATGTTTTTCATTACGTGTATATTGACAAGTACAACTTATATGTATGATCAATATTTCCACTTTCTGAAAGTATTAACTATATATATTTTTCGCTAATATTTTTGATACCTCGAAAAATTTTATAACTTTCCTTTCTATTATCGCGTTTCTTCCCTTTGTATGTCGCAAGTTAAACATATAGGATTGTACCGTCATAAGAAGTCACAGTTTCACGCATTAATAATTCGTAAACGATATCTGAATTTTGTTCTGTTGTTACAATAAATTAAACACAAAATATGGACAAGAAAAAAACTTGAATATAAAAAACTCGATGTGTTCTATCTTCCAAATATCTAAATTGAAGCTGAAAGTCCTGTCCATCGTACTATTGCCTCGTCGTCTTCTCCCTGTTAGAGTTACTACGGCTGATTTTTAATCTGTCCTTCTTGTTCTCTTGTCCAAAATGTTAGCAGCATCATAAACAAATATCCTGTACATACTACTCATTCTTCATCTTTAGTTCGTGTAATCAATCGTGCCTACGTACACACCTCAATCTCGTGATGGACAAGCTAAAAGCATGTGGTGAACTTACATGGTTCGTTTATTGGTGTTCTGACGATTTCTTTTTATTTTTTCTGACGGTCTGATGAAATGTTTTATATTATGTAAGAGATGCTAGCGATAAATCACGAGCAGCGTGCGTGTTACCTGTGATCTCCCTATTTGATCCTCGTGGATCTACTTCGCACGTGTCTGCTACATGATAATCGAAACATAAACATCTCAAGAGCACTAACGACATACATAAAAAAAATATAAATCGTTCTAACAGGCGAGAGGCCCGGAACAGACGAGTTCGCTGTGAAAACTCCGTTAGTTAATTACAACACAGTCGCCGGATTAATTCTATCGGAAACAAAGAAATAATATCGTTTCAAAATCTTATATTTTAATATTGACTAATTTTATAACTGTAATAACAAAAATTTCGCCTAGAAATTTGCGCGATGTGCATCTATTTGTGTCATTCTATTTGCTATAAAACAGATATGTATTTGTAGTTCGTCCTTCATATTCAAATATGGTTAAATTTGTCAACAATTCCTGAAATGTCAAGAAGAACTTATAAAAACCTTTTCAATCCTCTGAAGAATCACCAGTTACGTTTGAACTTTCGATTCTAATCTGTTCCGCTCTACGTGCATCACTTCAAAATTTATAATATACATTTATATTATACATAAAGTATCTGCTAACGTCAGTTTAATAAAATAAACCAGTATGAGTGAATTATTTCGTTCAAGGAGAATATCGTCTATTTCCTTTGACAAGAAGAATTACAACAAGTGGTTTTATTCCAATGTTTGTCACGTTTGCAAAAAGGAAAATAATAATGATTTGATATCTTGCGCTGAATGCGATATGATTTCTTACTGCAGTGATGAACACAAACAGTTGCACAATGAAAAACATAGAGAGATCTGCGGGTATCTTAAAGAATACATAAAGTCGCATATGGGAAACGAAACTGGAGTAGATCACGTGACCTGGATAAATTCAAGACTCCAATTTCTGAATTCAATCAAGAAACGGCTCTCACGTAAACTAGAACCATATGAAGAGCAAATGATCCTTTTCGCAAAATCATGTTTTAGTTGTCATCAACAGATTCATCTGGAAAATTGCCGAAGATGCTATTCCATAAACTATTGTGTTGTACACGCGCAAGAATTTAAAATACAACATGAATCAAGATGCAATGAGTTGCTGTTCGGTATGAACCTAGATATTTTATATCTCAATACTTGTCCACTGAAAAACAGATTCTTAAACTTTTGGCAAAGTAACCCTATAGAGGACATGGAAACATTTATTAACCAATACGTGCGAGCAAATGCTACATTGACAAAAGAAATAAAAAGTTGGGAAGTTAAATGTTATCTATACTCCGATTACGTTTCAGGACCACTGACGTTGTTTTATGCGATGAGGGATGCGAATTTATTGCACTTTCTAAATATATCACCACCAAAATGTATCATTCATATAGTGGTGTCCACCTACCATGACATAGAATATTTGGCAGCTTGGGAACTGCTTTCTCATCTGTTATGTCCTGCTATAAAAATACTAAAAATTGTACTGATAGGACAAGAATTAACACAGAAAGTTGGCAGTATCCTACTTTGCTGTAACTGTATTAATAAGGAGCTAAAGGTTAAATACGAATTTTGTCCTAAATTATATTGCGATTATATGAAATGTCAAACGTATGAACAGCCAAGTGTGGTTGTAGGGTTTCAAGTAGATTTTAGAGATAAAAAGATGCTGTCAAATTTCTTGCCCCTATTCCAGATCAAGAGTTATCCGTTGCTTTTAACTACCGCTTCAAAAAATAAAGCAATAATGAACATTAATGAAATAAATGCCGCACTAGGTACTAATGTGAAACCTACGTATGAGGAAGAAAATAAATTTCGTTCCTATAAACCACTGAGAGATCTTGAGGATGGACTTGGTTGCTTTTGTAATATGTATGTATCTATTTATCTGAACTTAGAAGATGTACCTGCATCATCTAAGGCGATTTGATATTCTGATATTAGATTGTAAAATATGTCCTTTCATTTTCAAAAAATTGTATTGGAAAATATGCTAATTGTATTATTTTTATAGATTTATGTATGTTTTGAAGTAGCTATTCTGTATTAATATAATTCATTTTTTAGATCTGATTATTTTTTATTATTTCCGTAAGATCCATTTTTATGATATATGTAAATGAAATTATTTATGGATATTATCATATTATATTTTTATAGTATACATAGGTAAATTTATATATGCATATATTTTCACATATACAAAGCACATATTTAATTTCAATTACATTGCTGTTACGTTGTTTATATTTTATGCAAAATATGTCGACAATAATAAAGAAGCATATCTAATGAGAGTATCTTAAAATAGTATGTATAATATCATTACGGAACAAACAGCTTAAAAATGCTGATATTTATATTGCAAAATTAGCAAGATGATACTTTCCTGTTTAATTTGACGCACTATACCTGCACACGTGTTTCGTGTCATCATAGTCATACCTCTCCGTGTATATTAATTTTTTTATTATTATTGTTTAATGAATTAGATACAATTTAATGGATTAGAATTAAAAACAAAACTTAAAGTAAACCTTTATATACGATTTGGCAAAAATATAGCATTACTTTCGTTGCGTATGTCAGAGATTAATCGTAACCTAAAATCATAAACTAAAATTATAGTTCAACGGCGTTGTATTTATGTTAATACTTTTAGATTTCTGTTTCTTTAAGATTTACAATTTAATGATAAGGACAAGCTTCACATAAGTTAAACTTCAGAAAAATAAATAAATAACAAAATTATTCCTTTAGATCATATTAGTGAAGCATACGAAGTAATTCTGCTTGGTAACTTATTGACAAACTGATACAATATCCAAAATGAAACATATGATATATATAATCACTTATTTCAAAATTTTCATATTAGGATTTCTGATACGAACCAGGTTTCAGAATACGATATCAAAAGAATTCTGTAAAAATTATGTGGGATAAAATTAACATAGAAATATGTAATTCACTAAATATCAAAGTGTACAAGTCAGAACAGATATTATTGTAATTTTTAAGATGTATGTATGCTATATATGTTTTCCATTATATGTATATTGACTAGTATGACTTATATATATGATAAAAATGTTTACTCTCTGAAAGTATTAACTATTTTTGCTAACATTTTTCGTAACTCGAAACCTTTCTTCTCTACCATCGTATTTCTTCTCTTTGTATGTCAGAAATGTATAGGATTGTACCGTCATAAGGAGTCACATATTCACGCATTAATAATTCGGAAACAATATGTAAAGTTTTATCGTTAATAAATTAAATGCAAAATATGAACAAAAAAAGTTCTCTACACAAAAAACTTTTGACTCGCATACGAAAAACACCAAACTAAAAGTCCTGTCCAATGCTATTATTTGTTGTCTTCCCTCTATTAACATTGCTGATTTTTTATCTATCCCTTCTATTGTTCTTTTGTTAAAAATGTTAGTAGTATTGTAAAAAAACATGCACATACTATTCGTTCTTTACCTTTAGTTCATATAATAATTCCAATGTACCTACGTACACTCCCCAACCTCGTGATCGACATGCTGAAAGCACGTGGTGAACTTACATGGTTCGCTTATCGGTGTTCTGACGATTCCTTTTTATTTCTTGATAGTCTAATGAAATGTTTTATATCATGCAAAAGATGCTAGCGATAAATCATGAGCAGCGTGCATGTTACCTGTGTCTATTTAAGCCTCGCGGGTCTACTTCGCACGTGTCTGCTGCATGATAATCAAAGCATAAAAGATATAAAAAAATATATAAATCGTTCTAATGGGCGCGAGGCCTGGTACAGACGAAGGTGCTGTGAAAACTTGATTGATTAATCACAACACGATCGCCGGATTAATTCTATCGAAAACAAAGGAATAATATCGTATCAAAATATCTTATATTCTAATATTAACTAATTTTATAACTGTAATAACATAAATTTTTCCTAGAAATTTGCACAATGTGCGTCTATTCGCGTCATTCTATTTAGTACAAAACAGATGTGTATTCGTAGTTCATCCTATATTCAAATACGATTAAATTTGTCAACAATTCATGAGATGTCAAGGAGAATTTATAAAAACCTTTTCAATTCTCTGAAGAGACATCAGTTACATTTGAATTCCCGATTCTAACCTGTTCTCTTCTTTACATGTATTACTTCAAAATTTATATTATACATAAAGTATCTGTTAACGTCAATTTAATCAAATAAATCAATATGAGTGAAATGCTTCACTTAATTAGAATACCGTCCAATAGTTTTTTGGACGAGGAGAACTGCAATGCGTGGTTTTATCCCAACGTTTGTCACGTTTGCAAAAGAGAAAATAATAATGATTTAATATCTTGCGCTGAATGCGATATGATTTCTTATTGCAGATATGAACACAAACAACTGCATAATGAGAAACATGTAGAGATCTGCGGATATCTTAAAGAATACATAAAGTCGTATATGGGGAGCAAAACTGGAATAGATCACGTGATCTGGATAAATTCAAGATACCAATTTTTGAGTTCAATCAAGGGATGGCTCCCACGTAAACTAGAATTATATGAAGAGTAAATGATCCTTTTCGCGAAATCATGTTTCAGTTGCCATCAGCAGATTGATCTGCAGTATTGCCGAAAATGCTATTCCGAAAATTACTGCGTTGTACACGCGCAAGAATTTAAAATTCAACATGAATCAAGATGCGATAAGTTGCAGTTATGTATAAACACTGATATTATGTATTTCAATATTCGTCCATTGACAAAGAAATTCACTAGATTTTCAGAGTGTAACTTTGTAGAGGATATGGAGGCATTTATTGACCGATACGTACAAATAAATACACTGATGAAGGGAATAAAAAATTGGGATAATCAATCTTATTTGTACTCCGATTACGTTTCGGGACCATTGACGTTGTTCTATGCGATAAGGGATGCGAATTTATTGCGTTTTCTATATATAGCATCACCTAAATGTATAATTCGTATAGTGGCAAGCACCTTACATGATGTAGACTATTTGCCAGCTTGGGAATTGCTTTTTCACCTTTTATACCCTGCTATAAAGTTACTAAAAATTGATACTAAAAAAAAAGTTACTAAAAACTGATAAGGCAAGAACTACCAGCGATGTTTGACAGTATCAAACTTTGCCATATTTGTACTCGGAGGAAGCGAAAGATTAATTACGAATTTTGCCCTAAATTATATTACGATTATATGAAATATCAAACGTATGAGCAGCCAAGTGTGATTGTAGGGTTTCAGGCAGATCTTAGACATGAAGAGTTGCAGTTCAATCTCATGAGCCTGTTCCAGAATAGTTCCCCATTTTTTTTAACTGCTACTTCAGGAACTACAGCAATATTGAACGTTCATGAGATAAATTTTATCTTGGATGTGAAACCTATATATGAGCAAGAAAATAAATTTCATTCCTATAAACCACTGAGAGATCTTGAGAATGGACATGTTTATTGTAATATGTACGTATCTATTTATCCGAACTTAGAGGATAAATCTAGACCTAAGGCGATTTAATATTCGGATATTAGATTGTAAAATATGTCCTTTCACTTTGCCAAAATTGCAGTGGAAAATATGCTAAACTTATTATTTTTATAAATTTATGTATATTTTGAAATAGCTATTCTATATTAATATAATTCATTTTTTAGATCTAATTATTTTTTGTTATTTCCGTAAGATCTATTTTTATGATATATATGAACGAAATTATTTATGGATATTACTATATTACATTTTTCATGGCATGCATAGGTAAATTTATAAATATACATGGATATATTTATAAATGGATATATTTTTATATATTTTTATATACAAAGCGCATATCTAATTACAATTATGTTGTTATTACATTGTTTATACTTTACACAAAACATGTCGACAATAATAAAGAAGTATGTCTACTGTATAAGAGCATCTTAAAATAGTATGCGTATTTTACGATACAAATAGCTCAAAAATATATCTTTGAATGTTGCACATTTATAATAAATATAAAAAATATGCAATGTATCTGACGTGACGTCTACATTTGCTTGCTTGCATGCACATCTCAGAGTAGAACTTTGTACCTGAATGGAAAGGTTCTGTAGATTTATAATCAGAAAAACGTATTCTTAAATTGATAAGAGAGATACAGAATAACAATGGTGAATTATTACTTTTGCGAGAGGATAGTAATACACAGGATGTTAACTTGTAGTCACTTTCTCACGTCGAATTTACCCTATTTTGAATTGCTCGTTTTCATCATCAAGTACCAAACATTGTTCGCGGTTATTTGAACATCGTCAACGGACTCGAGATACCTTGAAGAGAGAACCTCGAGACATCTTGCCCTACGCCCACCTCGTCGTCTTTTTTCGCATATTTATTCAATATTCGTCAATTACATACTATTTTCATTGCTCGCTGATATTTATATTGCAAAATTATCAAGATGGTAAGAGATTTTTCTGTTTAATTTGACGCACGGTACCTGCACACATGTTTCGTGTCATCATATAGTCACACCTCTCCTTGTATATTAATTTTTTATTATTATTATTTAATTAATAGATACAGTATTTACAAAAAAGCTTAAAGCGAACTTTTATATACGATTTGGCAAAAATATAGCATTATACTTTCATAGCATATATCAGAAATTAATCATAAGCTGAAATTATATTTCAAGGGCGTTGTATTTATGTTAAGACTTCAAGATTTGTTATTTTAAGATTTACAATTCAATGATAAGCTTTACATAAGTGAAACTTCAGGAAGATAAATTATTATTTTAATTTTATTAGACAGACTATGTGTGTGCATATGTTGCTCCAACTACCAAAGGATTGATCTAACTTGTATTATATAGTTATATAATACAAGTAATTGTGCTGCTGGTAGGAAGTTAAGCGAATCAGATGATAAACACGACCAATAATGTAAATCAACTTCACAATCGCCTCATTGTACAAAATTTCGAGCTAATTTCACACAAACAGGAGATTAGAAGAACATTAAAGTTTTATGCTTAAGGAGTTAGGGTAATTAATTCGCCACATACAATCTTCGAAAATAACTACATTAGAACTGTTTCAACCGATCCTCTTCTATTGTGCACGTTGGAAAAAATCGTATAAAAAGAACTAAATTCGAGATTGCACGAATATTGTTGTATAGATCGCAATACAGCCAACTTTAATGAAAATCGAATCAGGTTGTTAACACAGACGCGGGGATTTGAGCGAAGGAATACATAATCAACGGTGAAAGATTGACGTTGAAAGTAAAACGCAGCGCGAAACATAACTTTACGTGACGTAAAATTAGCGGAAAGCAACCGCAGTCGTTTTACGCGACACAGATACATGTTCCTTCGACTAACGAGAGATAGCTGACAGATCAAAGAACGATCCATCTGCAACGAGTAATTATAATGCAACGCAAGTAATTACAGCTGCGGTGGAAGGTCAAGTGAATCAGGCGATAAAAACGACCAATAATGCGGCGAGTCAGCTTCACGGTCGCCTGAATTGAATTGAATTTCCATCTTGTTTGACGCAAATGAGAGAGTATCGAGGAACACCGGAGCCTTTTGCTACAGGGATTAGTAGAGCGGTCACCTCGCTATGTACAATCCCGAAATTGAATCCGTTTAACTCGATTCCACTGTTGTTTCCGAGACTACTACTCTCTTTTTTCCGCTGTAAAACTTTTCGCTGGTCGAACAACGTCGCTCTGCCCGAGCACGCAACCGCCGCAGTACGCGTCGCGCACACATCGGGAAATTGTTTCCACGTCATTCTCGCCCGACAAACTCGCGTTAGTCGACGTGCAGCGGCGGCGTTCGCGCTCATTTTTATGATCTCTCGTTCTCAGAGGATCGCTCTCTCGCACGACGCCAATCATGCGACGACGTCAATATCCGGTGCTAAAAGCGCACTCAACTTTATGAATTCTAGATCCTTAAACGATCGCAATTAAACTCCCTCGTCGATGGCCGGGTGTTTTCCCTCCTTCCCCCCCCGTCCCTCTCACTGCCACTCTCTCTCTCTCTTTTTTCTTTCCTTCCTCTTTTCGGATCACCGCGCGAGCGACCTTGGGCGCAGCGCCCGTGCTAAATCAGAATCACCCCGCTGCTGCTCCCGTACGAGCAGCACGGCTCCCCACTACACTCCCGACTGGTTCATTAACAATTACATGGATACCCATGGCACAGGTGGCACGATATATAAAGTCACGAGAATCGGCGTGGCCAGCTATTAGTTCGGCTCGTTCCAGCGACCGGTCGAGGTCCGCGCGCGCGCGAGAGCAAACTTGTTCGATCCCTACACGTCGGTATCTCCTGACAATCGTAAATCGGCCGATTTAATCGCACCAACACGTGCCGGAGTGAACGACTTGGAGTCGCTCGTACGGAACGTACGTTTCGATCAGCCTCCACCAGCTCGCTCCGACGTCTCTTCCTCGTTCTCGTCGTCGTCGTCGTCGTCATAGCGACTTGAAGGAGACCAACCACGAACAGATCTCGATTGCTACTATCGCCACCAGCTCGGGTCCTGGCAAAGCCACTCGCGCCTACATCCTTACGAACGCTGCTTCTGGAACTCGTGGAAATCTCCATTACGATGCTGTCTGTCGAGAGGAACGTCGGCCTCATCCTGATGGCTGTCACGTGTCTCTTGACGGAGCACTGCGCGGCGTCGTGCCTTGGGAAAACTATGCTGAGTGAGTACGATGTTCGAATGATCTTCTGGAATTGTCAAAATGCTTTAGGTAGCGACAAAGTAGCGCTTAATTGGCGAAGAGGATGTATGTAACAACTTGATGTCTGCTTCTGTCGTTCGAGGTGACTCGCTGAATTTCAATGGTATGTGTTCACAATTTGTTCACAACTTCTCGATAACTCAATGACTGAACTTCGAATTCAAGTTGACGTTGTGAAATTTCAAGTTAAAAAGTCGATGTGAATTCCTAACATTAACTTTTCACAAGTTAGGAAGTAGGATTATAAACCGTCGAATTTGTTTCAACAAGATCTATTGGTACACGAATAAAAAGTATACATTATCCAAAAACACAAGTACATATACTGAAATGCAAAATGTAGAACGATTTTTGGAAATGTCATGAACCTGAAATTCGAATAAATCCGTGATAATCTACAACAATCTCTCAAATATATATCTCTTTCCCGAAGTATTAAAAACATTAAATTCTCACGAGAAGTTATACTATCGGTACAATGAAATAATATATTAAAAATAATTGTTATTTGTTTTATTTATCATATATTAAAAAAATATATGTTATATATTTATTTATTAGTATAGTTATATGTTTCTTTTTATATATACGTGTGTGTGTGTGTGTATAAAGGAATGTGTGCACGTGTAAAGGAACATATAACTATATCAATAAATAAATATATAAGATATATATACAGGATGTTCAGGATTTTTTGAAAATGAAAAATCGTGAAGATTAATCAGATTAAACCGAGAAGAAAAGTCAAGTACCATTTTGCAAAAATCGTAATATTGACCATATCTAGAAGCTTTGATAACTTGAAAATTTGGGTATTTATTTGCAAAATAGTAAAGGACCTTTTGTTCAGACTTAATTATATGACGACTAGTATGTCTAGCGACAGATATGAATATATTGAACTTTGAATCCTGAATCTTGAGCCTATCATTAAGCACAATAGCCATCATATAATTGCAGATTAGGTTAACCTGAACAAAAAAGTTCTTTACCATTTTGCAATTAAGTACCCAAATTTTCTAGTACCCAACTTACCAATTAAAGGAGCTTCTAGATGTGGTCATTTTCAATCATTAATAACTTAATAATTATTGCTATTCTTGCAAAATGGTACTTGACCTTTCTTCTAAGTTTAATCTGACTATTCTTCACAATTTTTCCAAAAGATCCCGAACACTCTGTATATATTCATTTATTATATTGTTATTATTTCGCAAAAGCTGCATTTTTTTATACGCGCAATATCTAACAGAATATCGAACAGAATACTAAAAATACAAGATCTCAATTTTGAGGCAGAAGCCATAAATATTAATGTAAATATAAATTTGATCAAGCAAGATAAAGATGAGTGATACGACAAACGATGACGATCGTTCCGCTGGGGAAAAAATGTCTCCGGGTATCAACCGAGATGACGTTGGCTAAAAAAACGGCGGAAATTTCACACGGGATATTCGGCATAATTTATTCACAAATACACGAGACGTGCGTTTGACACGTGTTACGGCAAATTTTACATGTTATTAGCGACGATGACGAACGAACGGAGCCGCGAATGCGACGATGACGAGGTCGAGCCTCATATAATTCGGCACTCATCGCCGAAGTCGCGGGAGGACCTTTTGAACGCATAGTCGCATGATTCACTGTCATCGCTTTAATCGATTCCCGATTTGAAGTTCACGTCCACTCGCGATAATTCCGTTCGCGATATTACCATCTAAAAGTGGTCCCGCACCGTAGGAATAGGAGGGGAAGAAAGGGAAAGAGAAGGAGGGAGAGAGAGAGAGAGAGAGAGAGAGAGAATGCAGGAGAAGGAGCGCAGGTAGAGTCGTCGTCCACTTTATCCGACTTTGTGTCGTTGGCCGATTCTTCGTACTCGACTCGTTTCGCGGGCCATCTCTCCATCTCTTTCTTTCTCTCGCAAGTTCAGATAATCCGGAGCGAGAGAAGTTCGACACGGCGCTCCTCTGGCTCGTCCATCAGCCTCCAGACGACATTCATCAGATAAGAACGCGGCGGGGTATGAATCGCACCGTGTGGATTAATTTTTCCCACCGCATCGCGCCACGACTTTACATCGCGAGCCTCGGTAAAGATATGGTTCAACGATTTATAATTAATGAGAGACGCAGGAGGACGATATTCGAGAGAAGGTAGAGAGGAGGAGAAGAAAGAGAAGAAGGAGAGAAAAAATTGTGGACGAAGGTCTGGACTTGCGCTCGTACTTTGTGCGACATTTTGTTAGTGCCTCGCCTTGAGACGCGATCGCCATCGCTTGATATTGCGCGAGCGCGGGCGAATATAAATCGTGAAGACGATCTCATGACCCTTTGCCCTCCCGCGCCGAGTCCACCTAAACATCGCGTTTCGTTCCAGTCAGTGTAAATCGACCTTTTTATTTATTAATACCACTTTAATTTATTGATGGTTCGTATAATATATACTCCCGTATAAGTGAATATCCACAAGTGATGTAGTATTTCAAAATAAAGTCTGTTCAAATATTAATTCCAGAGGCTAAGAGGCTATAAAGCTTTTCAATGATTGAATCAATCACGGAGGAATCTCTTGGCCCTTCGGGGTCTTACGTCGAGGTTAGTTCAACATCGCGTTTCGTTCCAGTCGACTCTGTAAATTAACTTTTTACTTATTGATAATATTACAATTTATTGATGGTAATAATCTCTATATAAATATTAAAGATAAAGTGATAAAGTATTTCAGAGTGAGACCATTGAAAAATCTATTTAAAGACCTATCTAAAAGGCTATAAAACTTTTAAGGGATCGAATCAATCATGAAGGATCCTTTGAGGCCGTCTGTCGAGTTCACTTTCACACATTAAGTTTCCTTTTAGGCGATTTTATAAACCAACCTCTCATTTATTAATAGTATACTATGTATAAATATTAGAGATACTTGTACAAATAATCAATTATTTAAAAATGGAGCATATTTGAAAGAAAGTTTTTGCAAAGTTTTTTAATCAGTGACATAATAAGTTGAAAACTAATAAATTCGCAAACAATAGACTGAGAAAACACTAATAAAATATAACATTTATATACTATCCAGCTAAAGCAGAAACTGATAAGGATAAAACTTTTGGAAATACTTAATTATTTATGGATATTTCTAATATACAGGGTATCCAGAATCTTTTGAAAATGAAAAACCATGAAGATTAACCAGATCAAACTGAGAAGAAAAGAAATATTTTGCAAAAATCGCTGTAGTTATTAAGTTATTAATTATTGAAAATGACTACATATAGAAGCTCCTTTAATTGGTGACTTGAGTACTGGAAAATTTGGGTACTTAATTGCGAAATGGTAAAGGACTTTTTTGTTCAAAATAACCTAATTTGTATGACTATGTCGCTAGGCTATTGTGCCTAGCGACAAGTTCAGGGTTCAAAGTAAAAATGTGCGAACTATTCGAATCCGAATCCCTATGATTCAAATTCGAATAATTCGAATAGGAATTAAATACATTATCGTTTGCATGCATCAGCTACAAAACGGGCCATCTGGTTCTGTATGTTTGAACCCTTAACTTGTAATTAACTTAACTAATAATTAATAACTTAATTATAAATTACTTTAAATATTTAAATATATATTTTAATTTAAGATAATATTACATTATCAATATTCTCTTTCATATTAAAATCTTTCATCATTATTTCCATGTTTAATAGTCATGTTAAATTTTTTAATGATTCGATTCGATTTCATTCGATTCGATTCGAATTCGAATTTAAAAAATGAGATTCCATTCGACATAAAAATTCTTAATTCGCACATCTCTAGTTTAAAGTTCAATATATTCATTCTAACATCCATATCTAACACTAGACACAATAGCCGTCATAATAATAAATAATTGTAGACTAGGTCATTTTGAATAAAAAAGTTCTTTACCATTTTGCAAATAAGTACCCAAACTTTCAAGTTATTGTACAGAATATTATTTTATTTTAGTAACAAACCGATAGTTAATGTTTTATATCTATGTACTAGTTGCGCCACACTCTCATGTGTGTAACTTTCATTCTATAAGTTTACTATACTGATATCTATTAGAGTTGGCAGCATTGTATTGAATCAGTCTGTCGAAGGATATAATAGAAGGATGTTGATCACCTTATATAAATTCCATTAATAAACCTATTTAACCACACTAACAGAACGTTTAACCCTACAGTTATCGATTAAAGGAGTCTCTAGATGTGGTCATTTTCAATCATTATTAATTTAATAACTATTGCGATTTTTACAAAGTGGTACATGATTTTTCTTCTTAGTTAATCGAATTAATCTTCGCAAGTTTTCGTTTTCAAAAAATCCCAAACCCCCTGTATACGTAATATAGTAAGATGTAATACTGAACATGTGTCGTTGCATTAGGTAAATATTAAAATGTTTAAATAAACGCAAACTACACTATATTGTCACGAAATGAATGAATTTCTACGAATCGGTTAGAAAGATAAATCAAAAACAATTTGAATCACAAAAAGTTGACTGACGAACGAAAATTTCGGCGAATTTCGAAACTCGCTTAAATTGTATATATATAAAAAAACGAACATCAACCTTGTACCATCGAAACTATAAAGATGGATATATACATCTTTTTCGATATGGTATAAAACGCGCCCGACATCCAATGAAAAAACTTATCTTCTGTGGGAATTTCTGAAGAACAAATTCTGTTCAAAAAAAAGTTCTTCCATTGAATAACGTTCGATGTCAATCTTTATGGCCGCGATTGTACATAAATTTGTAAATTTAATTATCGACTAATATCTTTGTAAGAAATTAATTTTTTTAGTTTATTTTGATTAATTTATTTATAATTAATTTATTTTGATTAATTTTTTATTACTGACTATATAATATCTTTAGAAAATATTAATTTTTTATTTATATTATCGACTAATATATTTTCGT